TTGACTGGTCTTGTGACCCCTTGTTCTCCCCCACTTTGCCTATGGGGGTGTGTCAAACATTATATATGTTCTGCTTGTGTAGGCTACAGTGGGTTAGCCTATAGGGGGTACACAATTCTAGGGTTTCCTACTTGTACTCATTTCACTGCTAGTTCATCCATTCCTGTTCGCTTATTCTTACATGGTATCAAAGCGGTCTCGGGTTCGATTCCCGGTGTATGCACATGTAGGCCGGTGCCGCTGTGCTTAGTCCTGGGCCTCCCAGTGTGGGGGGGTGTCAGTAGAGCTACACTGTGAGATCCCCGATCGATCCTAGGGGTGGTTACAGGCGCGTTCGCCTGGGGGGTTATGGGCGCACTGACCCGCTACTGAAACAAGCCCTTTTATCCCAATGGTCTAGTGGTTGGGATTCTTACAGCTCGGACATCCCTCGGGGTCACGCTGGAAACATGCATTGACGCAGGAGTATCCGCTCCTATCGCATAAGGAAATGTCACCATTTGAGTGCTTGGCTAGCTAGGCCGATTAGTAATCCATTGTGCTACTATTTATGTGCTTGCATTTGCATGTATTGCACATCCCAGTCAATGTACATTCACTCTACTACTAGGTCAAGGGCCCAGGAAATAGAATGTGCGACCCTTCTTGTGCGTTTACCTTGTTACGTTCAATCTCAAGTCGCAGCAATGCGTTACTACAGTTTGTTAAAAATAATACAGTAGTGGGAAAACAAGTTCATGGCAGTACTTGCACATTCAAAACTCCTGAACACCAAATCTATTGATGAAAGACAAACTACGCCGGTCAAACGATCTAACTACATGCATCGTGCGCAAGATGGAATGCGCCTCAACAATCTGATATCGTACGTCACGTTGCGACTCGTGCAGCACTGTGCACGATGTGACCGCGTCCACATCTCCAACTTCGTAGTATCGCACCATTGCATAGGCCTTCTTCACTGCAACCCTTGACCGTCCTCAACTGAATCCACATGGAACAAGAGCATCAGCTGTGCGAACCACGTTGTAATCACCTCAGCTCCAAGCGGCGCAATTTCGATCCCCAAAATCGCAACATAGGAGAAACAAGGTGCGTTATGGAAAGTCAATGCTGCCCGTGCGTAATGCGCCTCGTAGTCGTCCCCTTGTGGTAGTGCGATCGAGGTATGTACCTGGAAGGATTAGGAAAACAATCGTTTGTTAAATAATCACTATAGTGTAGAATGTGGTGTTGGATTTGGAGGAGTAAAACAATTCAAGAACAAACCCTACCTCCACCGACTGGGCAGGCAGTTGCAGACTCTTGAGCAACTCAGGAAGCGAGCGCATTCCCGTCCCATGATAGTTGACGAACGAGTCCCACAAGGCATCTCCCACAATCCCACCCTCGCGGCACGGCAGAACCATGGTGTTGTGTCGGGACGTCAGCACGTGTGTTTTTAGAGAAATGGCCTGGTATTTAAGAGGGTTGCATGTAGGGGAAAAGATGCCAAGATTTTGATTAGGGTGACACACAAGATACCAGTGGGATAGAAACAGGATGCATTAAAATACGAAGTGCATTACCTTCATGAGGGCGGTGTCGTAACGCTTGCTCTGCAGCAGAGAAGTTGGCAACAGAGACAGCGTGTTGCGCATCACCGCGCTGCGCATGATTGCTGCATCATACTCTCGGAAGTTAGATGCTCGAAATGGTCGTTTACATGAGGCAGTGTGTGCATGCTCGAAAAGGCTAGTGCAGAACTCCCTAGGCAAACCGCCTCGCCTAATCGAATCTGGGAAGTGCAGTAGCAAATGTACTTTCACTAGCTTCCACCCATTTCCCCCGCGTGGCAGATTGTGCACCAACAGCCGGATTAATCTGCCAGTGAAATGGCAAGGCATGAGTGACAATGGTACAAGCAACCAATCTGTACAAACATCCAATCGGACAAAAAACTTACTCTTGGGTATCAGTCAGATATTTCTCCAGCGATGCCTTCGTGTAGGATGTTGCCCTGAAGTAGGTGTCGAACCAGTTCACAAAGAAACGCAGAATATACATTCCCGCACCGGAAATGAGTCCTTCCATGATGAAGACGACCACCTGAATTACACAATACCACACATACGGTTGAATGGTCATACTAAACGTAGAGTGTTACGAATGTTACGATCTAATAGGGGAAACATACTCACCCGCAACATTCCTGCATGATCCGATGCTGAGAAGTTGGCTCCAAGGCTGAAGTAGCGTCCAGAGGGGGGTAGCGGAATGCCTGCTGATCGCGCCTCCCGTTAGAGATCCCGATGACGTCTGCCAGTGGCCATACAGTAGAAACAAAGTTACAATTGTGTATATACTCCATTAAGAGAGGGTAAAGAGAAGCACCATATTTATGAAATCACTTGCAAACTTACTCGTTCATCGTTTTAACATTTTTGTTCTTGAAAAGCAAAGCTTCAAGGATGTACACCCAAAGCCCGATCAATATCACATGTAACACATCAGGTTGGATTACTTGATACGGGTTTCCCCAATCCTTCTCAGCGTCCTTCTGCTTGCCGAAATGCCACAGAAAGGTCTGCAGGGCGGGATTGATATACGGGACACGCAAACTATGGATTACATTTGTTGAAGTGTCATGCGAGTCATATAATACTGCCGCACAAGCGCAATGTCAGCGTGTCATTTCGCGAAATATACATGACAGCTGTAATAATAGCCATGTTACTTACGTCCATCATAACCGTAGAATACTCCTTCGCTAGCTTAGCGTCCTTGGCGTACTTCATTTGACGCTCTACGGTCCTGTACTCGATGATGTGTGGATCCATGACGTCCAGCTGCGACTTCTCGACATAGCAGATCGAGCAAGGGCGCGCCGAGTTGTGTTGCATCGTGCATGTGACCTTGCAGGTCTCGGGATAATCAGCGATGTACTCGAACAGTTTGAACCAAACGGTCCAAACATTGCCGTTGGGATCTGTCAAGGGCAGAGAACTACACATCCAAAACAAACACCCATGGGGAAAACTTATAAGAGTATGATCCATAATTCAGCATCACAACTACATTTGGATACAATATGCAAATATCACCATAACACATACGTTTTGCAAAACCGCATTAGGCTTTCAAACACTGCAGAACTACTCTTCTGGAACAGCTCCACTTTTTGCCAGGCTTCCATCTCAGGATCCGGACGCGGCAGGAGCGCAATCATTGTGCGACCATGCTCCTTCCATCTCGTATCAACAGGAAGATTGGCAAAGGTAAGGTATACCGGCCAAGCGCGACATCGCTCGTTACCACTCAGCGTGGTCTCATCGCTCGAAATGATGAGTGGACAGACACACTCCTTGGGTCCCAGGCCTTTCTGTAGTGGAGTAATATTGGGCGGAGTAATAGAATGTAAGAGGCTGCACGAAGATGGCAAATGAAATAGTGAACAAAACATCCCTAACATTGCATTTACCTGAGCACCCAACCAATAGTCCCCATTGTGTGCTGCATCATACACTCTAATATCATCCACCATCTTTTTCTTAGCGTGATGTGTGAATCCAGAAGCATTGCGCTTATCCCCCCACATCCTTTCCAATGCCTGCCAATCAGCAAACCGCTGTCAGATACAGTCAAAGATAGAACCTGCCTAACTACCAAACTTTCATAACCATACCTCTTTCAGATCCACTGTCTTGACATGAAATGATGACGGCCATCCTCTAACAGTTACTTCGATCATTTTAAACTGCTGCTTAGAAACTCCTAAGGCCTCTATCCCATACCTATCTACTGCTGCTTTTGTGGTCCACTCAGCAAGCTGTGCTGGATCAAAACCGGGCTGCTTCACTAACCTAAAAAGGTAACTAACGTCAGGACTGGCCATTCCCGTACCCTTATTGCAACTCTCCAGAAACCTAAACATCTCCTTCTTAGTGTCGAATATAGGGCGCTCTTCCTCCTCTTCCCCAAACTCGACCTCGGCGTCACAAAAGACGTCACTGTCATCATCGTATGACTCATCATAGCCATCACCCCTATCTACTACAGGATCCTGCACTCCAAACACGAATGGAAATGGCGGCGTGAAATCTACACGTTCTAATGGTGGTACCAAAATCCCACGACTAGTTGGAGTGCTAAACGCATTTGCTTCCTGAATCGCTAAACACCGTTGATTACTCCTCTGGTGATTCACTAGACCTAACTCGCTGTTCAACCCCTTCCCGCAATGCCGGCATACGAAGATAAGCATTTCGAGGTTCAGGTAACTGCACAAGGGAAACAGCAAGAAGATTAGAGTCACCTAGTGTTTAACATGGCCACCACAGGTCAAGCATGGTATACACAATCCGATATAAGACTCATCTATACACTTACCTCTAAGTCGGCAGCAAGCTCCCACAGCGTACGGTGTCTTGTATCAAGCCTAGCACGAACGCCTGGATGTCGGGCACAGTTCAATCTGGAAACTACCTGCAATAGAAGCAGATATCGTAGGTTTTAGGTTTGATCCTGCTCTAGTTGAGTGTGCTAAAAGGATGCATATATGGACAGAATCACAGAATTACATGTATAGGGCGTAATATTGATGCACGTACACTCGCCCACACACTTGTTTGAGTGTTAATTGCAACATTAGCGAGTGTCAGATAGACTGGCCGGACCGAGACAGTCCCGAAGTAGCTTCCGAGGCAAGGAAGGTCTACCGCAATCACCAACAGTGGCCTGGGTACGGTTGCATGACTTCCAAACTCATCCCGTTCAGCCAGCAGATCGTCATGATTATCCCTGTGGTGATATGTACCAGGATTAGCACGTTTTAGAGACGCATATAAGTATACTGAATGACACATCAGGCAACGGTACACAGTACCGGACACCCGCTGCCCAAACGCACATGCCCACGCCGTCACCACAACCTAGCCCAAGGTTTGACGTACATTCAGTGTATCGCAGACGCCGCACCAAAGAGTTAGCAGGCAACATGTGTTGAGCAGACCTGTGTGGAGTTAAGAGGCACGGTACACAAAGTGAGTGGCAGGCCGGGAAAGGATACGTGGGCTGGATTGGAGAGGATGGCAGGGCAGAGGGGAGGGCAGGATGTGAGAGGAGAGGAGGGAGGGCCGCACGGGAGAAGAGAGAGGACAGAAATAGAGGGGAGAAGGGAGGACAGAAAGAGGGGGGAGAGGGAGGCAGGAAGGGAGAGGAGATGAATGCAGGCCGGAAGAGGAGGTGATGGCAGCACGGGAGAGGAGATGATGGCAGCACGGGAGAGGAGATGATGGCAGCACGGGAGAGGAGATGATGGCAGCACGGGAGAGGAGATGATGGCAGCACGGGAGAGGAGATGATGGCAGCACGGGAGAGGAGATGATGGCAGCACGGGAGAGGAGATGATGGCAGCACGGGAGAGGAGATGATGGCAGCACGGGAGAGGAGATGATGGCAGCACGGGAGAGGAGATGATGGCAGCACGGGAGAGGAGATGATGGCAGCACGGGAGAGGAGATGATGGCAGCACGGGAGAGGAGATGATGGCAGCACGGGAGAGGAGATGATGGCAGCACGGGAGAGGAGATGATGGCAGCACGGGAGAGGAGATGATGGCAGCACGGGAGAGGAGATGATGGCAGCACGGGAGAGGAGATGATGGCAGCACGGGAGAGGAGATGATGGCAGCACGGGAGAGGAGATGAAGGCAGCACGGGAGAGGAGATGAAGGCAGCACGGGAGAGGAGATGATGGCAGCACGGGAGAGGAGATGATGGCAGCACGGGAGAGGAGATGATGGCAGCACGGGAGAGGAGATGAAGGCAGCACGGGAGAGGAGATGAAGGCAGGACGGGAGAGGGGATGATGGCAGGAAGCGAGAGGAGAGGAAGGCAGGGAGAGGAAGAGGAAGGGGAAGGGGAAGCGAGATTTCCGCGTACGCACCGAGGGAGGTTGGCATCCGGATTCCGGAAACCACACTGTTGCGCGCGCCTACTGTTTCCGGAGATCCCACCGCGCGACACGCCTGCAAATATGGGTGGAGAAGCGAGCAGTGGAGGACGGAGCGAGAGAGGAGAGGTGTGGACATTGAGGGAGGAGAGGGGGGGACGAGGATAGCAGGAGAGGAGAGGGGAGCAGGAGAGGAGAGGGGAGCAGGAGAGGAGAAGAAAGCAGGAGAGGAGAGGAGAGCAGGAGAGGAGAGGAGAGCAGGAGAGGAGAGGAGAGCAGGAGAGGAGAGGAGAGCAGGAGAGGAGAGGAGAGGAGAGAGGAGAGGAGAGGAGAGCAGGAGAGGAGAGGAGAGCAGAGAGGAGAGGGGAGCAGGAGAGGAGAGGGGAGCAGGAGAGGAGAGGATAGCAGGAGAGGAGAGGATAGCAGGCGAGGAGAGGGGAGCAGGAGAGGAGAGGAGAGCAGGAGAGGAGAGGATAGCAGAGAGGAGAGGAGAGCAGGAGAGGAGAGGATAGCAGGAGAGGAGAGGATAGCAGGAGAGGAGAGGATAGCAGGAGAGGAGAAGAGAGCAGGAGAGGAGAAGAGAGCAGAGAGGAGAGGGGAGCAGGAGAGGAGAGGGGAGCAGGAGAGGAGAGGAGAGCAGGAGAGGAGAGGAGAGCAGGAGAGGAGAGGAGAGCAGGAGAGGAGAGGAGAGCAGGAGAGGAGAGGAGAGCAGGAGAGGAGAGGAGAGCAGGAGAGGAGAGGATAGCAGGAGAGGAGAGGATAGCAGGAGAGGAGAGGATAGCAGGAGAGGAGAGGATAGCAGGAGAGGAGAGGGGAGAAGGAGAGGAGAAGAGAGCAGGAGAGGAGAGGAGAGCAGGAGAGGAGAGGAGAGCAGGAGAGGAGAGGAGAGCAGGAGAGGAGAGGAGAGAGGAGAGGAGAGGAGAGCAGGAGAGGAGAGGAGAGCAGAGAGGAGAGGAGAGCAGGAGAGGAGAGGGGAGCAGGAGAGGAGAGGAGAGCAGGAAAGGAGAGGTGAGCAGGAGAGGAGAGGAGAGAGGAGAGGAGAGGAGAGCAGGAGAGGAGAGGAGAGCAGAGAGGAGAGGAGAGCAGGAGAGGAGAGGATAGCAGGAGAGGAGAGGATAGCAGGAGAGGAGAGGATAGCAGGAGAGGAGAAGAGAGCAGGAGAGGAGAAGAGAGCAGGAGAGGAGAAGAGAGCAGGAGAGGAGAGGAGAGCAGGAGAGGAGAGGAGAGCAGGAGAGGAGAGGAGAGCAGGAGAGGAGAGGAGAGCAGGAGAGGAGAGGAGAGCAGGAGAGGAGAGGAGATCAGGAGAGGAGAGGAGAGCAGGAGAGGAGAGGAGAGCAGGAGAGGAGAGGAGAGCAGGAGAGGAGAGGATAGCAGGAGAGGAGAGGAGAGCAGGAGAGGAGAGGAGAGAGGAGAGGAGAGGAGAGCAGGAGAGGAGAGGAGAGCAGAGAGGAGAGGAGAGCAGGAGAGGAGAGGAGAGCAGGAGAGGAGAGGAGAGCAGGAGAGGAGAGGAGAGAGGAGAGGAGAGGAGAGCAGGAGAGGAGAGGAGAGCAGAGAGGAGAGGAGAGCAGGAGAGGAGAGGATAGCAGGAGAGGAGAGGATAGCAGGAGAGGAGAGGATAGCAGGAGAGGAGAAGAGAGCAGGAGAGGAGAAGAGAGCAGGAGAGGAGAAGAGAGCAGGAGAGGAGAGGAGAGCAGGAGAGGAGAGGAGAGCAGGAGAGGAGAGGAGAGCAGGAGAGGAGAGGAGAGCAGGAGAGGAGAGGAGAGCAGGAGAGGAGAGGAGAGCAGAGAGGAGAGGAGAGCAGGAGAGGAGAGGGGAGCAGGAGAGGAGAGGAGAGCAGGAGAGGAGAGGTGAGCAGGAGAGGGGAGGAGAGAGGAGAGGAGAGGAGAGCAGGAGAGGAGAGGAGAGCAGAGAGGAGAGGAGAGCAGGAGAGGAGAGGATAGCAGGAGAGGAGAGGATAGCAGGAGAGGAGAGGATAGCAGGAGAGGAGAAGAGAGCAGGAGAGGAGAAGAGAGCAGGAGAGGAGAGGAGAGCAGGAGAGGAGAGGAGAGCAGGAGAGGAGAGGAGAGCAGGAGAGGAGAGGAGAGCAGGAGAGGAGAGGAGAGCAGGAGAGGAGAGGAGAGCAGGAGAGGAGAGGAGAGCAGGAGAGGAGAGGAGAGCAGGAGAGGAGAGGAGAGCAGAGAGGAGAGGGGAGCAGGAGAGGAGAGGGGAGCAGGAGAGGAGAGGATAGCAGGAGAGGAGAGGAGAGCAGGAGAGGAGAGGAGAGCAGGAGAGGAGAGGAGAGCAGGAGAGGAGAGGATAGCAGGAGAGGAGAGGATAGCAGGAGAGGAGAGGAGAGCAGGAGAGGAGAGGAGAGAGGAGAGGAGAGGAGAGCAGGAGAGGAGAGGAGAGCAGAGAGGAGAGGAGAGCAAGAGAGGAGAGGAGAGCAGGAGAGGAGAGGAGAGCAGGAGAGGAGAGGAGAGAGGAGAGGAGAGGAGAGCAGGAGAGGAGAGGAGAGCAGAGAGGAGAGGAGAGCAGGAGAGGAGAGGATAGCAGGAGAGGAGAGGATAGCAGGAGAGGAGAGGATAGCAGGAGAGGAGAAGAGAGCAGGAGAGGAGAAGAGAGCAGGAGAGGAGAAGAGAGCAGGAGAGGAGAGGAGAGCAGGAGAGGAGAGGAGAGCAGGAGAGGAGAGGAGAGCAGGAGAGGAGAGGAGAGCAGGAGAGGAGAGGAGAGCAGGAGAGGAGAGGAGAGCAGGAGAGGAGAGGAGAGAGGAGAGGGGAGGAGAGCAGGAGAGGAGAGGAGAGCAGAGAGGAGAGGGGAGCAGGAGAGGAGAGGGGAGCAGGAGAGGAGAGGATAGCAGGAGAGGAGAGGAGAGCAGGAGAGGAGAGGAGAGCAGGAGAGGAGAGGAGAGCAGGAGAGGAGAGGAGAGCAGGAGAGGAGAGGAGAGCAGGAGAGGAGAGGAGAGCACGAGAGGAGAGTGGAGCACGAGAGGAGACTAGAGGAGAGCGGGATGGGAGAGGAGAGGAGAGCGGGATGGGTGAGGAGAGCAGGACGGCAAATTTCGAGCAGGATGAGAGAGGCGAACGCAGGATGGGAGAGGAGAGGATAGGAGAGCAAGAGAGGCGAGGAGAGCAGGAGAGGAGAGGAGAGCAGGATGTGAGAGGATAGGACGTCAGGGGAGGATAGGAGGGCAGGATGAGAGGGGATAGGACGGCCCACGGAGGGAATACGCACCGAGCGACACGCCTCTGTATCTCGGATCTCACGCCGCATGATGAGAGCTGCTGAATCCAAGGCACCCACAGAGCGACATGCCTGCGGATTCCAGAGCTCCCACAACGCGAAACGCTTGCTGAATCCAAAGCTCCCGCCGTGCGACACGCAAGCAGATTCCGGATCTCACTTCGCGCAAAACGCCGGGGGATTCAGGAGCTCCCACGGTGCGACACGCCTGCGGACTCCGTCCTCAAGCCCCACGTGTGCCGCCTGCGGATTCCGGCAAACACCACACGCGACACGCCCGCGACCGCCGGGTCACTCACCGTGCCCCACGCTAGCGGATACCGGCGCACGCCACTTGCGAGAGCCACTGGGTTTCTCTAAATGCGATGCGGACATACAAATGGAATGTAGGTTTAAAAGAGGCTCAAGATGGCGGGAAAGTGGGTGGGAAAGTAGACGACCGAGTAACGCACGGTGTAACGAGATGGTGAACTAAGGTATTGGAAAAAGATTGCTCATCACAATCTTCACCACGAGCGTATAGGCGTCATGATGCAAGGCAGGGTGTAAGCTGGAGTATCACGATGTGTATAAAGTTTAGTCAAGCAGTTCTAGACCAGCAAAGTTGGCTTCTCAGAAGGAGTGGACGTGAGAAGGTAAGGCGGAGGGAGTCTGGGTAGCAGTCGACGAGAGTCCGTCTGGGGTGGGCGCTGGCAGAGGCCAGCTCTTCGGTGGTTCAGAATGTAGGTGCAAGAATCAGACAATGGTCAAAATGTCTGGTCCTAAACACCGGAAACAGCCACTTGGCAGCAGACAGCTGTACCAACAGTGCGCCTAGGCCACTTGAAGTGGTCGGGCTTGTCCATCAACCACACTTTGGAAGCAGTTCCCAAAACGGTGGGAAAATGGTCCATTTTCAAATTGTCTTTATCAATGTTGTTTAGTTCTTTCCACCCTGGATGTTGCTGACAATGCAAAATGCTTGACAACTGTGGATGTGACATCACTAACAGCATGGTGGCAGTATGGTGAACAGTGGAAGGGTTAGTAAGCAAGGCAACTTCTAAAGAAACGTCCTAGCAGTGCAGCAGCTGGCTACTTTCATCCATATCCACACCATGTCTGGCCCATCAACAATGTCCACCTGGATGGCCTGATTGATGCACTCAGCAGCAAATTCACATTGGCAGCTTGTGCTAACCTTCTTGATCCCAATTTAAATCTGGACAACTGCTCATGGATTGTGCTCATTCCTTCAACAATAGATGTGGTGCCACACAGCAAACAGGGTGGCAAGAATAAGACACTTGTGCATCTAGAAGGTACCAATTTGATTGTTGCCCACATGTGTGGTTTCCTATTGGTTAGCACCACATGTCACCTCATGCCATCACATGCCATCACATGCCAAGTATTAAATGCAGAGTCCCTTGTGCACACTGCAACCAATAAGTGCTGACACCTGCAGCATTGTCCTCTAGGTGGAGGCAAGAAAGGTATCTATTGGGATGCCTCTCTTATACATAGCATACACTAACTTTATTTTTCAATTAATAACAGTTATGACATGCCAATCTAATCAAAGTGTGGTTCGTGGTTGTGCGAAATAGCCAAACCAATTCCTATGGCAAGCGATTTGAGTTAACTCACTGAATCTGCGAAGAAATGGGGCTAAAAAAAACAACCAAGTGACGAAACGGCAACATGTTGCGTACCAGCCAGTCCTTGCACAGTTTCTAGCCATCCGACGCACAAACAAGCGTCACGTGCTGCGTAGTTGTGCGAAAGAGCCCAAACCAGATCCTATGGCAAGGGAATTGAGTGAACTCACTGAATCTGTGAAGAAATGTGGCTACAAAACACAACCAAGCGACGAAACGGTAACATGTTGCGTACCAGCCAGTGCTTGCGCAGTTTGTAGCCATGCGACACATGAACAAGCGTCACGTGCGGGGTAGTTGTGCGAAAGAGCCCAAACCAGTTCCTATGGCAAGGGAATTGAGTGCCCTCACATAATCTGTGAAGAATTGGATTTAAAAGCAATAATCAAGCGACAAAACGGTAACATGTTGCGTATCAGCCAGTCATTGCACAGTTTCTAGCCACACGATGCACAAACAAGTGTCACGTGATGCGTAATTGTGCTAAAGAGCCCAAACCAGTTCCTATGGCAAGGGAATTGAGTGAACACTGAATCTGTAAAGAAATGGGGCTACAAAACACAACCAAGCGACGAAACGGTAACATGTTGCGTACCAGCCAGTCCTTGCACAGTTTCTAGCCACCCTTGCATGAACAAGCGTCACGCGCTGCGTAATTGTGCGAAAGAGCCCAAACCAGTTCCTATGGCAAGGGAATTGAGTTAACTCACCGAATCTGTGAAGAAATGGGGCTACAAAAAACAACCAAGCGACGAAACGCTAACATGTTGCGTACCAGCCAGTCATTGCACAGTTTCTAGCCACACGACGCACAAACAAGCGTCACGTGCTGCGTAGTTGTGCGAAAGAGCCCAAACCAGATCCTATGGCAAGGGAATTGAGTGAACTCACTGAATCTGTGAAGAAATGTGGCTACAAAACACAACCAAGCGACGAAACGGTAACATGTTGCGTACCAGCCAGTGCTTGCGCAGTTTGTAGCCATGCGACACATGAACAAGCGTCACGTGCGGGGTAGTTGTGCGAAAGAGCCCAAACCAGTTCCTATGGCAAGGGAATTGAGTGCCCTCACAGAATCTGTGAAGAATTGGATTTAAAAGCAACAATCAAGCGACGAAACGGTAACATGTTGCGTATCAGCCAGTCATTGCACAGTTTCTAGCCACACGATGCACAAACAAGTGTCACGTGATGCGTAATTGTGCTAAAGAGCCCAAACCAGTTCCTATGGCAAGGGAATTGAGTGAACACTGAATCTTTAAAGAAATGGGGCTACAAAACACAACCAAGCGACGAAACGGTAACATGTTGCGTACCAGCCAGTCCTTGCACAGTTTCTAGCCACCCTTGCATGAACAAGCGTCACGCGCTGCGTAATTGTGCGAAAGAGCCCAAACCAGTTCCTATGGCAAGGGAATTGAGTTAACTCACCGAATCTGTGAAGAAATGGGGCTACAAAAAACAACCAAGCGACGAAACGCTAACATGTTGCGTACCAGCCAGTCATTGCACAGTTTCTAGCCACACGACGCACAAACAAGCGTCACGTGCTGCGTAGTTGTGCGAAAGAGCCCAAACCAGATCCTATGGCAAGGGAATTGAGTGAACTCACTGAATCTGTGAAGAAATGTGGCTACAAAACACAACCAAGCGACGAAACGGTAACATGTTGCGTACCAGCCAGTGCTTGCGCAGTTTGTAGCCATGCGACACATGAACAAGCGTCACGTGCGGGGTAGTTGTGCGAAAGAGCCCAAACCAGTTCCTATGGCAAGGGAATTGAGTGACCTCACAGAATCTGTGAAGAATTGGATTTAAAAGCAACAATCAAGCGACGAAACGGTAACATGTTGCGTATCAGCCAGTCATTGCACAGTTTCTAGCCACACGATGCACAAACAAGTGTCACGTGATGCGTAATTGTGCTAAAGAGCCCAAACCAGGTCCTATGGCAAGGGAATTGAGTGAACACTGAATCTGTAAAGAAATGGGGCTACAAAACACAACCAAGCGACGAAACGGTAACATGTTGCGTACCAGCCAGTCCTTGCATAGTTTCTAGCCACCCTTGCATGAACAAGCGTCACGCGCTGCGTAATTGTGCGAAAGAGCCCAAACCAGTTCCTATGGCAAGGGAATTGAGTTAACTCACCGAATCTGTGAAGAAATGGGGCTACAAAAAACAACCAAGCGACGAAACGCTAACATGTTGCGTACCAGCCAGTCATTGCACTGTTTCTAGCCACACGACGCACAAACAAGCGTCACGTGCTGCGCAGTTGTGCGAAAGAGCCCAAACCAGATCCTATGGCAAGGGAATTGAGTGAACTCACTGAATCTGTGAAGAAATGTGGCTACAAAACACAACCAAGCGACGAAACGGTAACATGTTGCGTACCAGCCAGTGCTTGTGCAGTTTGTAGCCATGCGACACATGAACAAGCGTCACGTGCGGGGTAGTTGTGCGAAAGAGCCCAAACCAGTTCCTATGGCAAGGGAATTGAGTGCCCTCACAAATCTGTGAAGAATTGGATTTAAAAGCTACAATCAAGCAACGAAACGGTAACATGTTGCGTATCAGCCAGTCATTGCACAGTTTCTAGCCACACGATGCACAAACCAGTGTCACGTGATGCGTAATTGTGCTAAAGAGCCCAAACCAGTTCCTATGGAAAGGGAATTGAGTGAACACTGAATCTGTAAAGAAATGGGGCTACAAAACACAACCAAGTGACGAAACGGTAACATGTTGCGTACCAGCTAGTCCTTGCACAGTTTCTAGCCACCCTTGCATGAACAAGCGTCACGCGCTGCGTAATTGTGCGAAAGAGCCCAAACCAATTCCTATGGCAAGGGAATTGAGTTAACTCACCGAATCTGTGAAGAAATGGGGCTACAAAAAACAACCAAGCGACGAAACGCTAACATGTTGCGTACCAGCCAGTCATTGCACAGTTTCTAGCCACACGACGCACAAACAAGCGTCACGTGCTGCGTAGTGTGTGCGAAAGAGCCCAAACCAGTTCCTATGGCGAGGGAATTGTTTGAACTCAGTGGATCTGTGAAGAAGGGGGGCTAAAAACAACAACCAAAGGTCAAAATGGTAACATGTTGTGTATCAGCCAGGCCTTGCACAGTTTCTAGCCATCCGACGCACAAGCAAGCGTCAGGTGCTGCATAGTTGTGCGACTAAGCCCAAACCAATGCCTACGTCCAGGATATTGGGAGTTCTGCATGGCACGGTTAGTTTATGGTGCTTGAATGTAACATCGACACGAAGTTGTCCGCCGTTTCGGCGGTCCAGATGCCCTCATACCGTTCTCGTCACCTCGACCATTCGCATTCGTGATCTCTTCTGAACACCTCACCTGGTCTAACGTTAACATCCAC